AACATGCTCAGGGTAACAAGCCAGGCAGCACAATGAGACAAACTCTCTATGATTTCATTCGGTGAAGTATCAACAACAGGCAAACTTTCAAAAAACAAAAACTAGAATGGGGGTTGCCAGAGATGGGGAAAGAAAAAGTGGGGAGTTGGCTAGTTTTGCAAGATGAAAAAGTTCTGCAGTGGATTGTACAATAATGTGGATATTACTGATGTCAGCCGCACATACAAGAGTGATTAAGATGGTAACTTTTATGTGGTATTGTGTTTTTATTTTTTGGTTTATGCAACTTTATTGAAGAAAAATAAGTCAATTACTAGGGGAGCTATTAGCTGATCACTCATCCACCGACAGCTTGCATCATTTACTCAGTGCTATATTCAACAGTGCATTGGAAGATAACTAATAGCTCCAAGCTTCCTAACAATTTAAATGAAAAGTACAAAACTGTGTCATGTTTCTAACATGAGCTAACATGGAGACTTAGGAGAAGAGAGGCTGGGGCTTGCTGCCTGGTGACACTGGAAGGTGGTTCTTGGGCTGATTGTCTGCAAGTGAGTCTCAGGTCCCTTTTAGAATTAGAATGGTCCCTGGGTTCCTGCACAGCCTCCAGCAGCCAAAGCAGATGGGCAGGGCTGGTTCTAAAAAGATGAATCCCTAGGTCTTTATCTTGATCTCAATGGAGGTAAAAGCCTATTTGTTTCTTTGACCAATGGCTCTCTTCTGTGTCCTAACTGATGCTCCAGAGATGAGCTCTAGAACATTCTGGAAGCAGGACTTGGTGCTTCACTATGAACCTTATGAATTCATCCCATGCACCCATCTCCCTTCACCACTCTTCAGACATGCATGTTGGGTACCTTCCCTGGTGGAGCTTATAGTCTGGTGGGGATACAGGCAGGTTGTCAGAAGAATACAGTATCTAATATGCATTATAATATGTGCTATGAGACAGACGTCTAGGGCACCAAGCAGAGGACCTAAGCAGGTCTATGATGAGAGTTCACAAAAGTTCAGTCTTAGAAACTTGAAAGGTAAACAAGCCTGAAGCAGTAAATTGGGGAGGAGGAGGAATGGACAATAAGGCGACACAAGAGCGTGGGAACTCCCTGGAATTTTTACAAATGCAAAGCCTAATTGAGAATCTGAAAACAGCTGAGTCTGGCCTAGTACTGAGTGAGGAGCAGGAGTGGTGAGAGTTGAGCTAAAAAGAAAAGCACGGACTGGCTGTTGTAAGGGTGTTGAAGTCCCTCAGAGCACCATGCTGGGTGTGGAGGGAGAGAATGTGAACATAAGTGTGATGAGCTGTGTGGACCCAGCTGGAGAGGCCACGGAAGACAACAAGGGGGAATCAGGGTGCTGAATTTGGATTCTGGGTCCAGGATTCTCAGAGCTGTAAGCGAGGTGCCCGGCCCCTTCCTGCACCTCACCCAACTGGCCACCCTGAAGGGCACTTCTTCTAGGGGGAGAGTAGTTTTATTGAAAACAGACCCGGTGTGCCTTCTTAGCCTTGCTGACCCTTGGTCCTCTGTCTTTGAGAACATCCTTGCCCTCTTGCTCCATCAAGGATTTGGCCACTGTCCCTACTCCTTATCTGCCCTCTTCCGGGCAGGAAAGTCCCAGAGCTTGCAATTTATACCTGATCTGGTAGGTCCAGCCATCCCTGCCACGCTTGGACCGCTCGAGACCCTGTGGGCTCCAGGCCCAGGCTCTGCCTGAACCAAGTTGCTCTATGTTTTAGTCTGAGCCCGAAAGCCACCTTGTACCCAGTCCCCTCTCCTTATCAGCCATCTGCTTCAAAGGACATGCTGCTCTCACAGACTGGGCACATGTCAACCCTAGGCTTTCAGTTGTTCTCTGATGGCAAGTCCTAGAGGGTCAACGGGCAAAGTACAAGGAAGGTGTTTCCAGGTTATGACTTCTCTCGAGATAGCACAGAGATCTGTTACAGGTAAATTTCCAGCAAAGACTACAGAAGGACACCTGCCTTCCTGCAGGAACTGTTCACAGTCCACTGGTTCCACGTTATTAGAAATTGAAGGAGACAGGGTGGGGCAAACCCGGAACTGAACAGGGCCTGGTGCAGTGGGACCCTGGCTGTGATTGCTGGGCAAGGGGTCAGTTCCTGCACAGTGTGATAGCTGGAGGCTTCCCACTGGTCTTGGGACACTTGACTTCAAGATGAATGCATCATGGAAGGAGGCAGTGGCTGCTCGTGATGTGTGCAGTCGGCCAGTATGAAGCCTCCAGAATCAGCAAAGGTCCCAAAAGCCTATGGCTTTAAAGGACTAGAGGAGGAGGCTACGGGTGTCAAGAAAACAATAGCCAGCTAATTTGGAAACAGTAAACTTTGTCTCAGGTCCAGAGCATGACAAGTTGAACCAAAGGCAGGGTCAGCCTTGTGAATGAGCCCAGGTTTTCTGTCTCTTACTCACATATTAGGTAACCCTGGGCAAATGGCTCCGCTGCTCTGAACCTCCATCGCAGGTTGGTGTGGAGAGTTGCATGAACTGGGATGCAGATTTTACACATGGTGAATGTTGTTTCTGGCAGATGAAGCCCAGCCTGGTGGCTCTGGTGGCTCCTCAGAGCCTCAGGCCAAAGGAGCAGCCTCATCCTGGGTAAAATAGAATCAGGTATTGTGCTGTGTGTCTGAAACCCTTTGTTCAGTGCTTCCTGGCTCTTGCTCATGTTTCCCTGAGCATGTGGCAGGCTGGCTACATGGGAGTGAGCAGGGGCTGGGGGCAGGTCTATCTCTGGTACGCTAGCTTCCCACCCTTGCTCCCTGGGACCTGAGTCCATCCCCACCACTATGACCACTCTGCAGGACATGGGAGGTCTGTCTCACCCAGACAACCCTGGGGTCCAGGAGGGACTGATGGCTTAACAACCACACTATGTACACCTTGGAAATGTGGTTATGAGCTCCAACACACACACACACACACACACACACACACACAACTGCACATACTGACCACAGGGAACCATCTGTTCTCTGAGCTTCACACGCTTCTGTGTCTTTGGTAGACTGTTTGAAACGGTCTCCCTGCGACTTATCTTGGCATATGCAGATCGCCACACTCGGTGACCATCAGAAACATGACTAGAACTCTTACTATGAGCAGACGGGGGGGAAGAGAGGAGCAAGGGCATCAACAGATAGAGGTTCTGTTCAGAGAGATGGTGCAGCTTCTACCAGACCACCCCCCAACTCCGCAACATACATGTACACCAGCTGCCCTCCTAGCCTTTGCTCACCCTTCCCAGCTGTACACTGTTGCCACCACAGTACGACTGCATTAGACTCCAATCTCGGGCACTGGCCCAGATGTCCTCTCCTCCAGGCATCCTCACCGCATTTCTCCAGGTTTCCCCTCCCCCACAGAGCACCCTTTCCTCTGGGGCACTCACAGTGCCTGTGTACACTCTGGTTGGCTCCAGGTTTTAATTTTTTTTTTTTTTTTGAACTGGGAATTGAACTCAGGGCCTTGCACTTGCCAGGCAAGTGCTTATTCTACTGAGCCATCTCCCTGGCCCCCCAGGCTTTAATTTATCTATAAGATGTCATAGTAATACCTAATGCATGGCAAACTTGTATAGTCAATGAGATAGCGCATCAACAGCTCGCAACAAGTGCTGAACAAATGTTAACTATGACATGGACAGCAGCATTTTATTCTCTGCATCCTTAGCACTGAGCACAGGGTCAAGTGCATAACTGGTGCCAAATATTTCCTCGAAGGATTGATGAATGGGTGACACAAGGTCGAGGTTGAGTATGTCTCTAAAGTGTGTGTGTGTGTGTGTGTGTGTGTGTGTGTGTACAGAGAACAGAACCCAGGACCCTTGCACTGAGCTACATCCCTAGATGTTTTCTTATTCTTCTTGTTCTTCTCCTCCTCCTTTTCTTCTTCTTCTTCTTCTTCTTCTTCTTCTTCTTCTTCTTCTTCTTCTTCTTCTTCTTCCTCTTCCTCTTCCTCTTCGTCTTCATCTTCTTCTTCTTCTTCAATGCATTTGGTACAGAGTCTCACTACGCAGCTCAGACTTGTAGTAATCATCCTGCCTTCAGCCTCCCCAGCACTGGAATTACATCACCACGTCCAAACTTGGTGGTCCACTCAGCATGCCCAGGGCTAGCAGAACATGTGGTGCCAGGATCAAACCCCAGTCCCTGAGCTTGCCTAAGTAAGTGCTTAGTCCGCCATGCCCAGCTGAGCTAATTGGTACCTGTATCCTACAAAAGTGGGGAATGAGGTATAGCATGGGGAGGGAGGCCAGGAAGAGCTGAAAGAAACTAAATATTTACACAGCAACTGTCAACATTCATGAGTTATCTAATTAGGGCCTCACAAGAAGAGGTTGCTTGTATTAACTATTGTTATTCTATTATTTTATTAAGAAATTTTGTTTTACTTTAAAAAAAGAGAGAGAGGATTGTTGTAGAATGAGGAAGTAGCTATTCCAAGAGGTAGTGTCAGTAGATTAACATTGCACAGTGAGTATGACATTGTCAAGGCAGATGACTTTGACAGAGTCCTGAACCCCTTAGGGAGGGGGAGGTCTTGTTCCGAGCCACGCTTCTCTCAGTGGTAGACAGGATACCCCTAGAGCCAAGGCAAGAGCACCCTTCCCGGGGTACTGAATCAACTGCCGAGCAGAGAACCTGCAGTGGCCTGGATTGGGTGGAGGACCTGAGCTCTTGCCCACGGAGGCCATCAGGGATTTCTTGAGCACCGTCCTTCTCAGCAACAGTCTTTAGCAGCCTCTGTGTACAGAAGGAGTTAACTCGGCTTCACGTCTTGAAGGAACCTGAAGCTTTTCTTCCTTAGTCTTTTCCCCTCCCATTCTTTGCAAAGTCTTCCTGCTTTTTCCTCCTCCTGCAGGCCCCTCCTCTTTACTCCCACCTCCTGACTCCAAAAACATTCTGATTGCCAGGGTGGGTCAATGGTTAACACTTGCTGGCTGTATATAAGCCTGCCCCGGGGCCACCTGGTGGCTGCTGGCTGGCTGGCGTGTCTCTGGTCCTTCAGTTCTCTGGCTCCAGGACGCAGTGGCTCCAGCAACCTCACTTGGTCCACACCATGGCCTCCTGCTGGCAGGGTCTGTGGGCTTATCGCTCCTTCCTGTTTGTGTTATTTCTGCCCATTTTGCTGCTGCCTCTGCCCATCCTCATCCCCAACAAGGTAAGGATTTGGGGTTCGAGGAACAGATAACTCTAGGGGTGGAACTCAAGGGAAGGACTGTCTGGGCGTGCGGCATCCTTAGAACCCAGTATAACCTTATCACTTCCTCCATGCTGAGGGGAAGGATACAACTTCCTGTCCACCTGAGGGCTGAGGGCTCAAAAGATTAAAGGGGGCTTCTGCTTGGCACCCTGAGGTAGAAACCCACGCAGAGTGCTCAAGTATCTTGGAGAGCCACTGCCTTGGAGAACAGGAAACCAGTTCTGTGAAGCAGAGGCAGGAGGGAATAGATGGAGTTATCTGTTTATCATGTGTCCGCCCAGCTCTGGGCTGGGCTCATTTGAGGGAAGGTGAAAGGAGAGTAGGAAGAAACTAGCCTTGGGCAGTTTGTCCTTTCAAGAAATATAAAGGGTAGGAAAAGTTCACCTTCACTCTCCAGGGCTGGTTCCTACTGAGGAAGAGGGCAGCAACTGCAGGGCAACCCCTACAATGCATGCAGGGTGGGCTGTCCCTGCCTCCTCCCCTGCCCCAGCAAAAGTCAGAACTTCACCTCGCATTTATTTGAGCCTCTCTTGCATAACCCATACTGCGTACTCAATACCGCTCCCCATCTCACAAGGCAGATCCAACTGTCCTGTCATGCAGGTAGAGAAAATGACAGTAAGACCTTTATTCAAAGTCCCAGGACTGATTCTCTTCATGTAGTTCAGTTGTTATATCCTTTTAGATTCCTCTGTAAGAAAAAGAATAGAAAATTATGAATAGAAATTAGCCTATGACAGCCTGGCATGGTAACGCATGCCTGTAATCAGGAGGCTGAGGCAGGAGGATCGTTGAGAATTCAAGACCAGCCTGGGCTACAAAGTGAGCTCAAGGCCAGCCTGAACTGTATAGTGAGACTGTCTCAAAAAGACAAAAAATTAGCCTATGGCTTGGGGAGGGGGGATCCAGGAGAAGTGTCTTGTAGGTCACCTCCCTCAAAGCCTGGGTGCTAGGGATGGAACATGCATGCTAGGCAAACGCTCTGTCCCTGAGCTGCATCCCTGACCCCTGGTGCTCAAGCTTACAGGGCACCTGTCTCTGACAAATCACACAGTTCAAAGTAGAAGAAAGAAGTGTGTGGTTTGGCTCCATAGTTGTGCTGTCTCCTGCCCAAACTGATGCCTCAGGAAAGCAAAACAGAATCGTGGTCCTGTCCCCTTTCCTCCCCTACATCCCCAGAACTGCTCCTTTAGCCTTTCTTTCTCCCATCACAGATAGGGTAAAGGCCAGCTTTTTGTTCATGGTGTCCAAAGAGTAAGGGGCTGGGGTTGTACTAACACAGGACTTAGGCCCCTGTCCCATGGGAAGTGACAAGCCCCAGCTTACCTTTAGCACGGTCTTCATCTCAGGCAACAACAGTGATGTCTCTTTACCGGAAAGCCACCAGAAGTATCCAGGTGGGGTGGGTCAAGTGTAATAACCTCCCCAACACCCACCCCAGGCAGAAGCACAGCCCATAAGGATTACAGCAACTTGCCCCAGGTCGTGCAGGAAGACCTCAGATAGTGAGAAAAACCATGCTTCTTGATGACAGACTCTGTGTTTGAGGTGCTTCAGCCTTCCCTCTACTGCATCTGGCCCTACTGCCTGCCTCTGTCCCGCAGATGCTGCCTGCCCCGTCCTGACTCCCAAGAACTGTCCTAAGTGGCCAGCTTCTCCACAGGCCCAGGATATTCACCCATGCGTAGGACTCCACTCCTGCCACTATCATCTCTCCTGCATGATCGATTTCTCTTCTGGCTCTTCATGTCTTCCATCAACAAATAAACAGGCTGAAGCATCTCTTATCTTAGACAGTAAACAAGATAATCTCCGCCCTCCTTTCATCCACATGCCCATCAGACTTGCCTTCCTTCTCTGCTCTTTCCTGACAGCCAACCTCAAAGATCTCATCAAGATTTTTCCTCCCAATTGTTTCCAGCTCCTCCTCCATCAGACTCTGGAGGTTGGGGTGACCTAGGGTCCCTTCTGCCCATCTCCCAACCCCATGATCTTATGGTGTCTCATATTAGGAAAACATCTCTAGTCTCATGAGATCCCAACTGTGACCCCAGCTCTAATATCTACTCTTGTACCAATCAACCAGCTAACCCTGGAGACTTTCTCCACTTGCATATTCTTTTTTCTTTTTTCTTTCTTTTTTTAGTACTCAGCATTGAACTCAGGACCTTGCACTTGCCAGGCAAGTGCTTATGCCACTGAGCTCTCCTCCCAGTACCCCCTTTTTTATTTTAAGTTATTTATTTATTTATTTATTTGGTACAAGGTCTCACTATTCAGCTTGGGATTTGTAGTGATCCTCCTGTCACAGCCTCCCCAGCACTGGGATTACAGGTGTGCACCACCATGCTTATTTTGGGGCCAGCATGGCATGCGGTACTGGGGATTGAACCCAGGTCCTTGCACTTGCCAGGCAGGTGTTTAAACCACTGAGCTATCTCCCCAGATCTCCACTTGGATATTTTCACGATAAGCAACGTCCTCTTATCCAGGTCCAAATCAAAATCTGACTGACTGTTCTCCTTCAGCAAGCGCTTCCTGCAATCTTGCCAGGAAATGCTGCAACCCACTACCCTGTGAGCGCTAGCCCAAAACTCTCAAGTCATTTTAGAGTGCTTGCTGTCCTTCAACTCCATATGCACCAGCAGGTTCTGGGCACTCACTGTCCCTAGAACACCGTAGATGTGCCTGACCTCGGGCTTGCCTGCAGGGGTTACATTCCCACAAACTCACGCTAAGTCGAATATTTGTAAGCAGAAAATATATTTCGTGCACCCACCTGCCGCACCTCCCAGCTTAGCACTGCATGTAGAGCACTGTTGCGCCCGGGTGTCTCCCTGGTGATCTTGAGGCTGAGGAAGCTGCCGCTGCTCAGGATCACCAGAAAGATCTTACTGGCCTGAGGGAAGATCATGTTTTGAAGTTTGCAGTAGGCTTTCTGTGAAGTGCAGGTTGCTTTCCCACTGTCATTAAAAAAAAAAAAAAAAATCCTAAATTGAAAACATGTAAATTGAACCACCTATACTTTGAGTGGAATCTTACCTGTCCTTTTCTTTCCCAAACTTTTGTCACCTGGCAGTCAAAGTGATCAGCTCAAAATCCAAGCTCCTACAGATCACTTCTCTGATTACAACCCACACAGGCTTCCCATCAATCTTTGAATTAAATCCGAACTTCTCAGCACAGCCCCGAATCCCTGGGGCTTCCCCTGGGCAGGCCCTCAGCTCCACCCTCTACATCCTGCCTCCAGCTGCTCCTCTGCCAGCTCTGTGGCCCTCTCACTGCTCCTCCAATTGCTCAGTCCCCACCTGTGCTACTTGTCCCAGTGCCTCAAGTTTGTTTCTCAGATTTCCACTTAAATCCAACTTAGCAAAGCCTCTCTGGAAACCCCAATCACTCGCCGTTAATATCCCTGACATTCTATTTATAGAACACTCACTATCTGAGGTTATATATTTGTTTACTTCCCACCTGCCTTAGAACATAAACCAGGAAGCCAGGACCTCATCTTGTTTATGCATACTCCCAGGCCCTGGCACATAGCAGATGTACCAGATGATGCTTGTTAAGTGAATAAATGAAAGAAAGAAAAAATGTAGGCAAGATGATCTTTCTTGATTTCCTGTTGAGTCTGCCATCTGCAATAAGAGCCCAAGCTTGGGCCCATACCCAGTGTAGAAAGAAGGACCCCAAGACGGGGCTCAGACTCATATCTGTAATAATAGTTGATGTGTATTGAGTATATCTTGTGCACTTTAAATTGAGTCAAGTGCTTCAGAGCATTATTATCTCCCTTATTTCTTTTCTTTTTTTTTTTTTTTTTGGTGGAACCGGGGATTGAACTCAGGTCCTTGCACTTGCCAGGGAAGCGCTTAGTCCACTGAGCCATCTCCCCGGCCCTATCTCCCTTATTTCTCACAAAAGCTGCTGTATCTCTGGGAGATTATTGCTGCTTTCTCCATTTCATAGACCTGTAAACTGAGGCCCACAGAGGTAAAGCAATGCCCCATCTAGAAAAAAAAGTTAGACTGGAACCTGGTTTTGAGCTCTTCGTGCGAGACTGACCAGGAAGTCAGACGTCCCACTTGTGACCCCCTCGAAAGCCTGTCTTCTTCATGCCCATCCAGCTAATCCTCCTACCGCCTTCCATTCCAGATGCTTTTCCTCTGTGCCAGGGGTCACGGGCAGATGTTCTGTGCTCAAGCTGGTTAGTCCAGAGGAGACAAGTTTTATACCGCACAGAAAGGCTGCAGAATTCAGAAGAGGGAGCCAGTTCTTCCAAAGCACTCAAGTAAAGGTCTGAAGCAGATAGCTTTGAGAAGGGCCCTGAAGGCTGGGTGAGATTTCAGCCGGCAAAAGCATCAGCTGAGGGCAGGAAGGAAGTGTGGGAGAAGATGTGAAAGCTGGAAATGGGAAGGGTGTATGGGGAGACATCAACAACATCCTTGCAGTCCGGCGTCCTCTGGCCGTCTCAGATGATGAGGGAGGGGAGGGCTAGGCTCTCACTAGTTCCTGAGCCACGCAGCCAAAGCACCATCCACGAGCCGGAAACTCACACCCATCCATCCATGCATCAATTGGTCTTTCATGTATGGGTGAACCAAGACTCAGAATTTTGGGGGGTTTTGTCCATTTGTTTTCATCCTAGGGATGGAGCCCAAGGCCTTCACACTGAGCTCTGTCCTCAGCCCTTTTTATTTTCTTATTTTGAGGCAGAGTTTTGCCAAGTTACCCAGACTGGGCTTCATATAGGGGAATGAAACTCACAGCCTGAAAGGGATGAGTTCATGTTCTCTAAAACTAAAGAATGAGGGCTGGCCAGATAGCTCAGCACATTAAAGAGCCTGCTTCAGCAGAGTGCAGCAGCTGGGGGTTCAATGCCCCACACGACAAACTGTGCCAGCCCCACCCCCGGGGTGTGCTGAGGCAGCGATTGAGACTGGGTGTGATGATGCACGCCTGTAATCCCAGCACTTGGGAGGCTGAAAACAGGAGAATCACTATGAGTCCAATCTACGTAGTGAGACCCTGTAGACCCTGTACTAAATATAAATAAATAAGTAAACAAATAAAACTGAAGAATGAATTTTAGAAACAAACAGAGGTTAAGAGCCAAATATATTTATTAGGGGAAAGAAAGTGCCCATCGGAGAGAGGGACAGAAGGGGGGCCCAAGCGGTTTGCCTCAAGACTCTGTGCTTTGTAACAGTTGCTGTTCAGGTGTTCTAGGAAGATGATGTGGGGCAGCTGGCATTCTTGGCAGGGGTAAGAGACGCACAAAACCTACCTCTGCTGTGCATGCTATAGAAACAACACAGCAGGCCGTGCTGATGTCTCAGGGAGGGGCTGCTTTCGGTGCAGGGCTCAGGGAAGGCCTCCCCAGGAGCAGATGCTTACCTTGGGACCTGAGTGGCGGGTGAAAGCCAGTTAAACCCAGATCTGAGTGAAAAGCCGTCCAGGCAGAACGTGAAACTGGTGCGAAGGGCCGGGGACAGTGAGAAGCTTGGCAGGGGCAAGGAATAAACAAGGTCAGTGTGGCTTCAGGAGAATGAATGAGGACAGGATTTCTGAAGTCAGGATCGGAGATGAAATGTGAAGTCTGCTAACGTCAGGCTTATGAGGCCAGGGGGATAAGCAAGGAGTTCATGCCACAGGCAGTGAAGGATAAATAACTAGCTCAAAGCTCAGAGGTCTAATAAGTTAGAGTAAAAAGGGCAAATGCCTCCCAGGACCACCTGTAAAAATAGTCTCCCAACAGCATGATGTTGGTCAGGACTGAGCTCTGGAGAAATCAGTATTGTGTTTACAGTAAGAAGAGGTGACAGAGGGCTGGGGAGATGGCTCAGTGGAAAGAGTGCTTCCCTGGCAAGCATAAGGGCCTGAGTTCAATCCCCAGTTCTGCCAAAAAAAAAAAAAAGAAGAAGAAGAGGTGACAGAATGTCTTCCTCTGAATCATTCCTGAAATGCACACATGGTGTGCATACCCTTTAATGCCAGTGTAACATATCTTTGATGCAAGCTGTTCCTGAAGCCCAAAGGCAGGGGGGGTACCCCGCGGATTCACTGCTGACAGGTCGGCTGTATAAGGAATTTGGACCCTCTGTCTTTTGAGACTTTCTGGCTCTTGGGTGGGAAAGCAGAGTCCAGAGAATGATGCATGAACTTGGAGCCACATAGATGTGGGTTCAGATCTACTCTGGAACATGCACAACATGTGACCTTTCTGAACTTCTCCAAGCCCTCCCAGTTCTAAGGGTATTCCAGGAAGATGAAGTACAACAACCCATATGCCTGGAGCGCAAGGGCTTCTTCTGCCCTTGGCCTGTCTGACTTCCTGGACTCCTGGAAAACGCAGACTGGGTTTCTGCCTCACTTTTTTTGACCTTTGCCTTCAGATTACTTGGGCATGTCTCTGCTTATCAGAACCTTTAAGGTAAAGGCCAGGAATGGGAAAGTAAGGTAGACTCTTAAACAACAACCTGGATATAACTCAGCTGGAAGGCCTGAGGCTGTTGTGAAGATCAAGTTCACAGAGGAGTGTGGGAATGTTCTGTGCCTGTCACTCTGGCTTCGCTTGTGTTCACCCTTTAGTAGACCCTGCAGGCCTGGCTCTTGCCCAAACTTTGAGGACAGGGCTCTTCCTTTCCGCCCCCCTGTTTTCTCCAACACTCAACTCCATTGTCTAGTCAGGCACACCGGCTTCCCACCTACTCCAGGGGGCTGAAGCAGGAGAATCACCCAAGCCCCAGAGTTGGAGGTCAGCCTAAGCAACAGGGTAAGACTCCCTCTCCAAAACTAGGTGGAAACTCTCCATGTCCTCTGGGTGTCTTGGAGCAGAAGATAAGGTGACAGAATTGTTCATATCAAGGAGCAGAAATGAGTGGAGTTTCCCCAAGCGACAACAAAGAATCAAGTCAGCCACCCTCACTTGCACTTGGCTCTGCCTCAGAGGCAGGCTCGCCAGGCTTTCAAAGGGACTGAGGAAAAGCTTCAGCGATGTGCTGCTCGAGGGCTGTTGGTGTGGGAGGCTGTCAGCAGCAGCCTGGAATGGGGCATGCCCTGTGATTGGCTGGGGGAGCAGACTTGGCTTTCTCCAATTGGTCCTGAGTTAGAAGTGGGAGAGCAAGGGCAAAATATGAGGGAAGTTGGCAACCTGAACAAATTCTGACTTTTTAGGGCCGGTGGCTGCCAGAGTGGTGGTTTGGCTTCTGAGCTGGTTTCTGCAGAGACTGTGGGCAGCATTCTCTTGGAGGAACTGGTCATTGGCCCCTTTGTACGGAATCTCAAAGTATTAGGCATTTGACATCTGCCTGTTATTCCTAGAAAGGCTGTCATCTCCAGCCCTTTTCTTATTTATTTATTTATTTATTTTTGTTTCAGGACCTCATACTTGCCAGGCAGGCAGTGTGTCACTGAGCTATATCCCCAGTCCCTTTTTTTCATATTTGCATAACTGGATTTCAGTATAGTTGGTTTCCTTTGTAGTCTTACATATTTTATTCTAAGAGGTTGGCAGCTTCATTATTAGCCTGCCAAGAGGGGCCTGGTATCCAAAATGGGGTATAAATTCCTAAATTAGAGATTTTCCTGTGAGACAAATCCTCTCATACATATTTTTTTCAATCATACGTGATAGTGTAAGTATAACCTATGGGGTTTTCTTTCTTTTCTTTTATACTGAGATTGAACTCACAGATTCTCAAATGCTAAGCATATGTTTTATCACTGAGCTATACCCCCAGCCTCACCGTAATCTTTTCTTTTCCTTTTTCTTTTTGTTTTCTCCCAGTACTAAGGATCAAACCTGAGGCCTTCACACTGAGCTACATATATTCCCAGCCCTTTTAATTTTTTTTTTTGCTTTTGTTTTGCTTTTATTTTTTGTTTTTGTTTTTGTTTTTGTTTTGTTTGTTTTTTGTTTTGTTTTGTTTTGTTTTTAGACAAGGTCTTGCTGATTTTCAGAATTTCCCAGGCTGGCTTGGAACTTGCAATGCTCCTGCCTCAGCTTCCCGGAGTGCTGGTCTTACCTGTATGTGCCTCTACACCTGGCACCCAGTATAATCTTTAAATGAAACACTAGCCTGCTTGTGCTACTTTTTCAATTTAAAGACCCTTCAGAGTCCTCCTACTTTCAC